ATATATATATATATATATATATATATATAGAATACAGAATAACAAAATTTATATTCAAAATTGCATTTAAATCCTTAAATCCTTCACATTTTTCGAATCGATAATAATGAATATATTAATAACGAATAAGCAGTAAATAATAGACGGAAATTGATCTTTACAAACCGATACTCCGATAAACCGATACTACCGTGACAATTTACAATTCATTTCGCTATATGAACAGCGAACGTGAGAATAAGTCGAAATTAAACATAACTTCACGGATAATCGCCATTGCCTCAAGATGTTTACCAAACTTTCTGCAAAACAGATAAATTTGCAAACGACTTATATCTTCATGCGAAATCGATAGATACATGTATGTATATATGATTTTATTGGAAGTCATATATACACGTATATATACACTTATATATTTTGATTTCCGAGGAACAAAATGATCATATTTAAACAGTAAAAATATTGTCCGTTAAAAATGTTGTCAATGTCAAAGATCATATTTTAAAGCTCCTTCTATGCAATGTCTAATTTTGTTAAGTTAACCGGTGAATATACCTAAAATTCTAACCTGACAATTAAATAATGTATTTATAGCTGAAATCTCCTATGTTTCCAGAAAATGTCTCAAGTACTATCATTTTAAGTACTATCACTGAATGTGAAATATTAAATGTCATACTTTTTAATAAATAACTTTCTTCTTAGTATTTAATTTAAAAATGTAACTTTAGCATCAGGTACACAATTGCTCATATATAAAATTGTTCAGATATAATTATATATAATGATACGATTATATATATTTACATATGTGCAATTATATAAATAAATATAATGATTTATATGATTATATATAAATATGTGTAATACACGTAATTACACACACATACACACGTGCGCGCGCGCGCGCGCGCGCGCGCGCACACACACACACACACACACACACACACACACATGGATATATATAATTTATGAAATATTTATTACCAGGCATTAATAAGCAATAACATATTTTCAATTTTTCATATTGTAATTATGCCATTTAATAAATTATAAATATGATTTATTAAAATTATATTAAAAAAAATAAGAAATTTTCTTTGTCATTAGTTTTGTAATGCATTTAACTCGAAAATAATTTTTCTCATTTAGTAGTAGGTAACAATAAGCAAATGATTATACATAATCAGCAAATTCCGATTTGGTTTCATACTGCAAACGTCAGTCAAACCCACTTACAAGAATTCGCCGATGTAATATAAATCAAATACATCAATTTTAATCAATATATGTATACAAGTTTTATTAAAAAGATTTAATTAATATAAAAAAATCCATTATACATATCTGTATTAAGGTTATCTGCCATATTCAATTTAAAATAAAATTTTTAAGTACTATAAAAAAAGTAACGAAAAGTAACGATTAAAAAAGAATATGTGATTCATCTACATAATACATTGTTATATGCACGCGTATTCGATTCCTATAAAAGGACAAGAACCGTTGAATCGTTTTATTCCTTGTTAAAACTTAATATCGAAGAGTGCGTTATTCAGTTAGCTATTTTCTTGTATCAAAACTGTGAAGTTGTTGCATATATAAAAATCAAGTAGAGATGAATATGAATTTCATCAAAATGGATATATTTTTCCTAGTCTCTATTTTATATATGGTAAGGCCAAGTAAAACAAGAGTGTATACGACGAGTGTATATCGCACGCACGCACGCATCAAATACGCACGCATTACACATACGCACACGCACGCACGCACGCATTACACATATACGCACGAACGCACGCATAACACAAGCGCGCGCGTGTATAATTGTTACAATTTAATTTGAGTGCGTACAAAAGTAATGATACGTACTTTTTTAATAAAAAATATTGTCAAATAGGTATCATTTGCAAATGCTGTCGAAATTTCAACGGAAAATATATATGGAAAATTGTCCACGAATTCACTGAGGAAAGAATCACGATTCCAAATAAAAAGAGCAATATCTGATATTGAAAGATCTGAAAGAATAAATCATGGCTTTGAGAAGATAATCGAATTCATCAATGTTTTGGGTCAAAATGGATAATTTTTTTTATTGACAGAACAAAGAACATTATTCGCAAGTTGAATGCAGTTTATGACATAGAAAAGAATGAAAGATATCACAGATCTTACATTAAATCATAATACAAATATTTTTATAATTAAAATAAAAAACATTAATTATATTTTTAATAAAATGACACACACCACACACACACACACACACACACACACACACACACACACACACACACACACACACACACACACACACACACACACACACACACACACACACACACACAATTAAAAAGGAGAAATGAATTCTATTTGAAGTATGCATCGCCATCTAGTGATGAAATAATATACAATGTTGTTTTAGATTAGTATTATCGATTACATGTAATTCTATGCGCGTTTGCGATTTTTAGAATCGTGACGTGATGTTGAGGTACCGATGAAGTACCATTAAATACCAACGATCTTGTAAAAATTCGTGATTATGATTGTTAATATTTTGAACATTTGACATAATATAATATTATTAATTTATTATTATCCCGATATTTTTTAAGCAAATACACACACAAACATATTTATGACTTCCTTATATTTAATTTTATTTAAAATTTTTTATTAAAATATTTTTATATTTTTATACTATCTGTGCTTGATCCATAAAAGCCTTTATTCTCTTTTATCAATAGAAATGTCTTTAAAAGTGGCTTACAGTCACTCAGAAGGTTTCTAAGCTACTTTTAAAGGCATTTTTACCGATAAAAGAGAATTTAAAGTCTGTGATTCTTGCAGCAAGTGCAATGACGGATACGGAATGAATGAAATCCAATGAGTGTACAGCTGTATATTTCTCGATATATTTAAAAATTGTATGTTCATTCATGCGATTACGGCCATGTTCCGATATACACTACCAGTACTGAAAATCTATAGTTTATGTGACGTAAACTATAGCTTTCCATTACTGATGATGTATGATCGACGACGAAGAACGAGCGTAAGCGCTTATGTTCAACGTAGACATGGACATAGAGTAAGGTAGAGAAAAATATAAACGTAGGATGTGAAAGATTATTGGATACGGAAAATATTTTTTCTGTACCTTATTCTATGTCCACGATAAATATTAGGGTTTACATACTTATCTCGTTTTCTGCCATCAGCTTAAATCGGGGTACTGATCATGTAATTTTTCTCTTAGGAAACATGAAAAGTGAAATTTTTTTCTATTATTTTAAAACTCTATGTCCACGATGCTAGAAATCAGTTTGAGACCTTGGAAAGAGAATTGATCAATCGCATTGATGAATTGGCTGAATTATTCAAATGCAATTGGTCAATTCTCCTACCGAGTGAGATCTTGGACTGATTACTCCTATCGTGAATATAAGGCTTAATAGTAAAAATTTTTACTTTTCACATTTCCGCTCTAGCGAAAAAGTTATATGAACACGACCTACGTTATGTGTGTACTCAATTACTTACGTTATCAAATAAATTGATCGAATAAATATTATATATTTTGATAGGTGGTCGACTGGAAAGTTGCCAAGTCGATCGATGTGAGCGACATGTCCAATTGGAATGTGAGTAAACAGAAGGAGTGCTGCCATGTATTGGAGCACCCTTATAGATATGGAATGTAAAAAGAGATAAAAATACTGTCTAAAATTCTTTTTGTTATCTTACGATTGCAATGCCAGCGCGCATTCCAATATTGTTATAAGTTTATTCAAGTTGCTTGCACTTTAGAACTTTGGATATTTAAGGCAAGATAGATATACAGACGATAGAGAAAGAGAAAACGAGAAATTTAATTTAAGTGAAACCTGTTTGATCACATTCGATTGATCATTAGCCATTTGCAGGAGCCGGTGCCTAAAATTTTTCCATTATTCAAGCGCTGTGAGTAGATAGTGGTCAATCGGGACATGGTTAAATGGGTGCCATCCGAAATTTAAATACATACATTGGGGCTGCGTTTCGATATTCACTGCTAGTACTGGTGGAAAATCTATAATATACGTGACATGAATTATATATTTTCACTGGTAGTGATATCGGAACGCAGCCTGAGTTTCATTAATCGTTTTTTTTTTTTTTGAGTTCGTAAAAGTTCGTACTATCTTTTGGCTCCCGTCGTATTTCTTTTCAGACGAGAGCGAGAGAGATATATATACTTAACTATCTATGGGTGCGTTCCGTTTCACGCATAGATTGCATCAGCAATGCGCAACGCATTAATATCGTTCCGTTTTGTTAATACGCATGATGCGCAATGAAAACGGAACGATTCTTGATGCATTTCGTGCATTAATTGTAAACAAAATCTCGACTAGTCTTTTCAGCAGTTTTCTTTTCGAGAATAAGGGTGATCTCTTTATTATCTTTCGTCGATTATGACAGGAAATTCAACATTCTTTTTTTCCCATAATTTTTGTCATTTTCAAAGTCTTATCGCTATCTTCAACGCGCATCAAACGCTTTACGTCCGAGCTACGGTAATTGATGCGTGCTTGATGCGCTGGAGAAGAGGGGAATCTAGGGAATTCTTTGCGCTATCAATGCGCGCATTATATGAAACAGAACGGTTGTTGGTGCAGTCAGTGCGCATTAGTGTCGGTCCACAATAAGTATTTAATCTTTAAGTCGTAAGAAATTGACCAATCATAGTCGATTATTCTTTTCATATTCGATTATAATTGGTCAATTTCTTACTTCTTAAAGCTTAAATCACCTATTGTGGACCGACACTTATGCGTGAAACGGAACGCATCCTATATCTTTCTGCATTCAAAAAGAATTCGACTAATGAAACGTACAATGTACAAGCAATGCGAACAGACCCTATATTTCAACAAGTTCCTTGCGTCTATTGGTCGACCAGACTGTCTCATTCATCTGTCCACGATAAAATGCTACAATACGATGGTTCATTCGTTCGATTGTAACGGCGAAAGTTCAGTCTGAACGGGCCAGATATACATTCACCAGGTGGCGACTGCGTCCGAGAGTCACCGTGGTCAGGTTGATCGGGCGACTTGTAGGTACGTTGAGAGGTTGCGAAGTCGTCGTGCATCGTTCTGCCACATGTTGATCAGTTGAGAAAACAGGGAGAGACGAAAACGCAAATCTTCACAGCATCATCGCTGCCACTTGGTACGCGTCATTCGCGAATCGTCAGTCGTACGTTTTTCTTGCGCGCACGCTCTCTTCTCTTCACACACGGTCTCTTTCTCTCTCTCTCTCTCTTTCTCTCTTTCTCCCTCTTTCTCTCTCCAGATCTAGACGTGAAGCTCCGTTGGCCGCGAGTTACACGAACGGGTGACCAGCAGCACGCAACTTTCTACACTCTGTTGAGAAGTAGCCTAGTACGTTACGTCACGCGGTCGTCGACAACCGTCGCCGAACATCGTCGAGAGACAAGCGTGGTATTTCCTTGGAGCCAGTTTGCGTGCTTGCACGCTTCTAGCCTTGTCACGTTGTGCGTACATATCGTATACGCGCGTCTGCAGTTCAAAGAAGGGGATTAATCTCCAGCCTCAACCATAGCCATAGTCGCGATAGCGGTTAGTTCCTGTCCAAGAGTCGAGCTGCGAATTAAAAATCACGCAGTCTTCGTGTTCGATTATCTTAAACATCGCGCATCCATTTAGCGTAAGCTACTTTGCATACGAGATTGTTTGAGTTTAACCTAAAAATTTTTGTGAATGTTGATAGTTCCCGCAATTCTCTTTTTGGCCTTCTTTTTCTCCTCCTCTTCCTTTTTCTCTTCTTTCTTCTCTTTCTCTTCTTTCTCCTCTTTCTCTTTTTT